TTTTAACACTTTTACCCTTATATAACCTTGTTTTTGGATGATTTTGTTCCTGGAAAGCATATTTCATTTTTATTTATAATTTATCTCAATATTTTGGATTTTAAAACTTTGTTTGAATGAGATCATATTTGGTACACCTATACATAATTTAGTATATTCCTAAATTATTATGATAGATTTATTTTTTTATGTTTAATTCTTTCTACTATGGTAGTTTTTTTTTTGTACCATAACAGTTATCTTTGGAAATTAATTTATTATTGTGAAAAATCTTTTTTTACCATGATAAACCTTTGTAAAATTAATTTGATTCTTAATTACCATAATAGATTTTTTCAATTATGGTAGGATTTCAAAATAATATTTTTTATTCTTTCTATCATGATAAATCTTTTATTACCTTGGTAGGATTTGTAAAATGCCTTTTATTTTTTTTACCATGATAGACACTACTCCATCATGGTAGGTGTTCTTAAAGTTGAGTTTTAGATTAATTACTCTTTTTATTGAAGAAAATTGGTTTGTAAAATTTAATGTGTTACAAACTCTCTCATTAATTTTCATTTAACAAGTGTTATATACTATTTAGCGGGAGATTCGTTCCTCCTCGCTAAATAGAATTTTTCATATTGAACACAAAACATCATTAGGTTCGACAATTGATCTCGTCATCTTGCATTGATTATGCTTCCAAAATTATTTTCGAAATTACTGCATTTGAAGAAAACATTTTTCATTCATGTCGTATCTAAATTCATACAATTCTCAAAAGTAAATTATAAGGTTATAATATCGACATTACTTTTAATATTTTAATTTTACTTAAAAAGATAGATTCGCTCGTAAACACTTTACAAATCAAAGCGTTCCATGACATCTTGTTATTGAGGCCAATCTCATAAAGACAACAATTGCATTTAATGACAATCAACAGTATTTCGTGAAAAAATCGGCACGAGATTGAGTTAATATGGAAGTCATAGTATATGATACGTGGCGAACAATGGCAAAGTTAGCACCTTGTGTCAAGACTGAATGCAAGATAGTCTAATTTAAAAATTAATATTTTTTAAAAAATAATTATACTATAACTAAAATCGTAATAATATATAGATTAATTATTATTTTTTTTCTTTTAAAAGGTTATATTGATCAGTTTGATATGATCTTTTTTATAAATATATTTTTATACCTTATCTCATTCATTAAAATATTATATATTTAATAAATTTTTGAATTTAAATATTTTTTATTTAGTCTGGGTGTGTAAAATATTAAAAGTAGGGTAAATTTTACACCACCTACTGATAATTTTTTTTTCCCCAAAGTGAGGGGTGGATTTGCATATCCTCTCTATATGATTTTGCTACTGGTGGCAAACCCTAGTTTAAATCTTTATTATGAAATATATTCATATTTAATGTCTAGCTATATTTCTTTTAATTTTATGTATAAGGTCATTTTTAATATTTTCATCTGAACCAATAAAAACTTTAAACTTCATTAACTTAATCTAAAAATTTAACAAATTTTTAATTTTATTTTCATTAAAATAAAATACTTTAATATTAAATAACTTTCTCAACATTTAATAGGAGCAAAAGGATAAACATAAATACAATAACTATTAATTATTGAGATATTCTATAAATAGGACTAAAACAAATACTTCATCTGTTTAAAAATATAAATCATTTTTAATTAAATCTCACCTTCTAAAGTAATAGTTATTTATTTTTAATTTATCTCTATTTAATAATTTATTTTACTCTAAAATAAATATAAAATAATTTATTTAATAAGAGTATTTTAAAAAAATAAAGACTAAAAATATTTTATATTTTTTAAATATTCAACATTTTAAAAAATAGTTTATATTTTTAAATAAAAAAAGTGTTCTTTATCTATATCTTATAAATATAATCATGAATACCACAAATAGAATCTTCTCCAATTAAAAAAAAATATGCACAATGCAAATAATATTAAAAATAATAAAATAAAAAGAAGTAATTATTATTATTATTATTTTAAATATGAGTAGATTTCATGTCAAACCAAACCTTACACGACGCCCTCCTCTTGAGAGGGTCAGTATCAAATTGCGTGTTGACTTGAGCTTCTCCGCGTCTCCCTCCCTCCCTCTCTCTCTCGGAATTAGGTAACAATATACTTTGCTTATTCAATTGCATAAAAAAAATCAGATAAAAACAAGAAGTCGAATCTCGATTCTTTCAATGGCCTCGTCTTGATGGACGAGTCACACTTGCTACAGCCAACATGCACAGAAAAGAGAAAGAAAAAGAGATGGTGAGCCATTGTTTCAGCTTCAGAATTCAGGATGCTCCTCTCCTCACAATCTTATTCAAAATTCAAACTTGTAAGCAACCAACGTTAGCTGGCCTCACCCCATTTAAGACACCTTTCTTAAAAGCTGATTCTCTTGGAATTTGGAAATACAATTCCTTTCTTTCACTCTATGTATTGTTTCACTCTCACACATATAACATCGTTTTCAGACTAGTTAAACAATCAGCCCAAGAAAAAAAATAGTCTGATTCAATTATTTGGCTGATTCTGGCAATTGCCCCTCTTTGACCCGATTGATTCTTAAGGATCCGAAGCAAAAATTCAAAACCCAAAACAAGTGAACCGTTTTAATCCATTTTTTTTTAATATTCCTTTTTCAAATGAAGTTTCAAATACATTTCCTTTCTTCCACTCCATATATTGTTACATTCTCACATATATAACACTCTTTCCATAACCGAAATGACTTAGATGACTGGACTGGTTAAACCATCATTTGAAAAAGAAAACGATTTAATTCAATTATTTGATCTATTCTGAAAGTTGGCCTGAGTTGACTCTCTTTGACCCAAACAATTCTTAAAAACCTGAAGCAAAAATTCAAAACGTAGAGCGGTTGAACTGTTTTTAAATATATATATATATATATATATATATTATTTTTATTTAATTATTATATTATCAATTCAATCATTAATTTAATTGGTTAAATCATGAGACTCATGACTCATTTATTTTTTCAGTTCAATCCAATTTTTAAAATATTAATATATACAACCAACCAAAACCAAATTCATCATTGAATTATTCTAGTTACTAGTTGAAGAGTTAATAATCAAAATCATTATTGAATCATATCAAATTTATCACAAATTAATGATTTTGGTAAATTAGACAGAACATTAATTTAACAATTTAATATTTTAACTACACAGGAAAACACCATTAATACTATGAAGTATGAACCTTCATAGGCATCTAACTACAAAAGGAGAATCACGGATAGATTTTGATTGAAAGTTTTAAAATAAGTTACACATTGTTATAAATAATTATAAATTCAATGTTTTAATTATAAATAATATTTTTAAAATTTAAAATATAATTTATGATTGAAATTTTTATAATTTTTATTTATAATTATTTAAATTAATATTTATAATTTATTTTTTAAAATATTTTATCGAGACTAAATCTTTGTTTGGATTTTGGAATGAAAGTAGAACCGGGAGTTGAGAAAACTATTGAAAAAAGTAGGGAGAAAGAAGCATTTTCTCTCCTTAGCACACAGTTTTTCCAATTAATTTTCCTCATCTCTATGAAAAAATTAGGGGAAAACAATAGTAAAAATATCTTTTTTTTTTCCACCCTTATTTTCTCCCATTTTTTCTTTCCTATCTTCTTCCCATTCCAAACAAAACCGTACTGTCATTAATTCTCTTTTTAAACTTATATGCCATTCTTCCTAATCACAAAGTCTAAGTAAATAATTTACATTGAAAATACGAAAAAAAAAAAAGGGAAGTAAAGATTTAGATGGATATGCCATATCTATAACCAGTTGGTTTTACGGTTTACAGATTTTCAACATAAATCCAAATATCCCGTACCCGTGGCTTGATTCACGAAACAAAAATAACCTTTTTTCCATGTAAAAGAAGAACAAAACCTACTTCAACAAAACAAACAGTTTCTTTTGCCACAAATGAAACACCAATCTCCTAATCAGCAATGAAATCTATCCCACAAGTTATTCATTCTTCTTCTTCGTAGCCTATGCAACATTCAAAACTCAGTTATATTAAAAACAACTAATAACACATCCTGAATAATACAACTCATCTTGAACCTCATGACCACAAACCAGCCCTAAATTGCCTTTCAGAAAGTGAATCTCAGCCGAATACAGCAAAAGTTCATTGACAATTCTACCAATACAGATGAGTTCAAACTTTATAATTTTCAAATTTTTAAATTGCTCACATATATCTTTCTATCAAAAACAATTATCTTCAAAATACAATTGGATATTAAATATAAATTACTCTTCAAACCTGATTTACCATGCTCTGAAGACTAGGAAGAATTGTATCATCATATACCTACTTCTGCATATAATAAATATATTGACGCCCTCACATGTCTTTGTATTGCACATCGTTAACCTAACTCACCAATTCATTCTTGAGTCTATTTCTCTATGCACCAGGCAAAATGCAAGAGTTCTCATGCCTAGTCAACTCGATAAACTGTTTAACCAGTACTGAGATCAGTTAAATAAAATGTTAGTTTATGGCTGATCTTATTATAATTCAACACGATTTTAACCATTATCCCTTGGACCGATCCAAAGTTCAATATCTCTTCAAAGAGTTCCATACTGCATCACTTTAGCCAAAATAAAGAGACATCAAATTGATCAAAATCTGCACAAGACATGTGACAACCACCTTCCATTTACATTTCATGGTTAGACCAGAAAGAAAATAAGAACAAACTCTAAAAAGGCACTCTCAATGACAGAATCTATTGCATTACACAGAAGTTAAGCTTGCCATTAATATCATCTCACCAACACATCAATCAGAAAGTCGCGGAGAATATTAGTAAAATGAGATTGCAGCAAAGGCAAAAAAACCGAACCAAGCCAGAAATAGAAACAAACCATGATCAGAGCAATAAGAAGAAGGTAGCAGCCAGAGATCTAACTTTTTGTTAGAGCGATACTGAATTTTTCTTAACTAGTATTGTACATTACAGACAAGCAGAACAAGAAAGGATCTGCCATCAAATCTTGTTCAACAAACAGATCATATAATATTACTCTCTTTCTTCTTCTTCCTCTCACAAAGCTTAAGAGGAAGAAGGAAGAGCAATACCCATCATCACTATCTCTCAGATTCAAGATCATATCACCATCCTCAATTTTTTTTTTCATTTTGCTCCGCATATTAGATAAGAGAAAGAACAAAAATTCCAATAAAAAATTCAAAGACACTTTTTTCTCTCTCCTGGTTCAGCATCAGAGGCGCAGATCGGTGCAGTGAAGATCTTCATCGACCGGTGGGAAGTTAAGATCGAAGGGGAAAGGCCGCCGGAAAGAGGACGACGCGATATCATCGCCGTCGTTGTCAACCACAGACGACGATGAATCGCAGTCGCTGTGGCAATCCTCTGGCACGACGGGCGGCGTCCGAGGGTATCTCCGGGGGGCGGTGGTTTTGATCAACGGCGGCGCCGCTGAGCGAGGGCGAGGGCCGCTGAAGGACTCGACGGTGCTGCTCATGCCGCTGGAAGTAGGTCTCTGAGGATTGATCTGGTGCTCCTGGAAGTCATTAGAAGCATACAACCTGTGATCTAAAAACGGATCGGCGGGGTTGTTATTGTTATGGTGGTAACAGAAGCGTGAGAGAGAAGAAGAGTTGATCGGAAAGTTGGTCTTAGCCTTAGGTCCACGCAGGCTGAGAGCGGCGGCGTCGTAAGCTCGAGCGGCTTCTTCGGCCGAATCGAAGGCGCCGAGCCACACACGAGCTTTCTTAACAGGGTCTCTGATCTCCGCCGCAAATCTACCCCACGGCCTCTTCCTCACGCCCCGGTACCTCGGCTCTTTTAAAACAGTCCTCGATCCGGATCCGTCCACCCCAACCGCCGCCGCCGCCTCAGTCGCCGTCTTCACCTGCGCAGCTGCTCTGCCTTTCCTCATGATCTGAACCAACAGATCTGGATATCTCAGGCGAAGAGAAACCAAGATCTAGTCTTGGACTTGTGGGTGGTTCAAAAACAGGTTATAGATTCATGAGGAACATCTCGGAGTGGGAAAGAATAAGGAATTTGTGAGAAGAGAAGGAGAGGAAGAAGAAGATAAAAGAGAGAGAAAGAGAGAGGAGGTGTGTGAATGTGAAGAGGAGGTATCAAAGCTAGCACCACCTCACCACACCTCTTCAACGCATAAAGAAAAATGAGTTATAAAATAATATATAAAAAAAAAATTGGTTTGATTATTATGAAACGTGGAGTGGTGTGTGCATGTTTCCCAAGCTGTGGCTGTAATCGTGTAATGGCGTTCCTTCATTTATTTATTTCTTCTTTTAAAAAAATTATGCATAAGTTTTATATGACAAATTTATTTATACATAAGTCCCAATAAAATTTAAAAATTAAATTTAAATTCTAAAGAATTTGAACATAATTTAAAATTAGAATATAAAAACAATAATATTCCTATTAAAATTAAAAATATTGAAGTTACGGTTATAAAATATTAAAATGATAGTTATAAATTATTAATAAGATAGTTATAAATAATTATTACTTTCTCCATTCAAAAATGTAAGATATTTTTAATCAAATCTCACTCTTAATAAAATAGTTACCTACTTTTTTAACTAACTATATTTTTTTATATTTACCTTTATTAAATACTCTATAATAAATATAAAGTTATTATCAATAAGAACACTTTAAAAAAAAGAAAATAAGTACACCTCAAAAACTAAAAATGTCTTACATTTTTAAACATCCAACTCTTTAAAAAATACCTTATATTTTTAAACGGAGGGAGTATTAAACTTTATTAAAAATACATAATTGATTTAACTATTAAATATATGAAATTATAATTATAATTATATAATATTAAAGTAATAGTTGTAAATTATGAATAAGGTATTGTATAGAATTAATATTAAACTTGTAATTCATAAATAGTTTAACTATTTGACGTGTGAAATTATAATTTTAAAAAGTTAAAATGATAATTATAAATTATTAATAAAATAATTATAAATTATTAAATTAATATAATATATTTTTAATAAGAATATTATTAACTTTACATCCTAATTTTAAATTATACTGAAATCTTAAGTGATTTATTATAATTTCTGAATTTTATAGAATTTATTTTAAATAAGTCTACTATACGGAATTTTGCCTTTTATTGTTCTTTATTGTTTTTGATTTGTTGCTTTCCTATTTCCCTACTTTCTACCTTTCTTCTGACCCAACTGGCCATCACGCGGACTTAGGGTTTTGATTGCTTATTGTAATAAACTCTTTTCCCCCCCTTTTTTACATTGATTGTAATAAACTTTGCTTGTGGTAATAATCTACGATAAAGTATTAATGATTTTATTTTGGGGCAAGATAAATTATTACAGCACTCAATCAAACACTTCATTTATAAACAGACACGGAGAAGAAGGAATCGCACCTTTTAGTGGGGCTGTTGGTATATTAAATGAAATACACCCACACAAATTAAAAATATATTATATTTAACCTAAATTAAATCATTAATAATAATCACCTGCAGAGGCCATGACAGGAATGAATCCCGTCCTGTGGCCATCACGCGGGGGTTGGGCAGTGTAGAAATCATCAGCGTACGATCTGTCCAATAGTTAGAAGGAGCGTCGTATATAATTTACCTCTTATCAATCAAATTCAACACATCCATTGAGTGTCTAACCTACGGTAATAATTAATAAAAGTTGATCTAATTAATAAAAATTTAACCTGTAAGTTACAAATTTGTGAGATCAAATTCCGTGCCACTGTAAACGTTATTTAAACCTAAAGATATATCCTAACTTTAATGAATTTTTAAAACTCAACTTATCTAAATTTTAATGCCAGTCAATGTTTAATGTCTAAATTTTAATGGTGATAACTTTCAACTCGAAGTCAACTAACGTTTAAATGTTGATATTTGTTACTATGAAGAAGATACTATCGTGAAGAACTTCATGCCGTGAGCAATTTAAATGTTTAAAATGAAAGATCTGCTTTTGTTCCATCTTCAAATTCTTAGATTATGTTTGTTGCTGTGGAATTGCACTTCAAGGTTCAAGAATGGAATTGCTGTTTGTTCTTTGTTCTTGACTTTGTGAATTTTTTTCAACTGGAGATGTTTTTCCCTTCCTCTTATTTGATTGAATTTGTGAATTTTTGCCACTTGACCATTTATTTTTCTTCTTTGGCTCACTTTCTATCCATCTTTTTACACATTGTGAGCCATTTCTAGCTTCCGTTTTTTTAAATTAGCACATTTTTTTTCCAGTTGCGTATATAAACATAGTTGTAATGCACTACTTCACACAAGGAAGCTAAGGAAGTTAGAGGCAGGTGATAAATAGAGCCAAGAATATGACTAGGCTGCACGGGCCTCTTGTTTAAGTTCTTTTTTATAAGGGCTCAATCTTAAAATTTGAGCTGTTTGGTCTAGAATTGATATACTCGACTTGAAAACGGATCCGATAAAGCCCAATTCAAAATAAAACCACACTATGGCCCAATAAGGCTAAACCATGGAGAGATTCAGTGGAATGTCATGTTTCAATGGAACGACGATCAAGTTTTAAGAATATTTTTTTCATTTTTTGAGAAACGTGAACCACTCACTTCACTGTATCCCCTCAAAAAGGGGCACCCACAATCCTCAAACAAGCACGAATAGTTATTACTTTTTTTAATAATAAAATTTAAATTTAAAAGAGTGCATCATTACTTTTTTTTATAAAAGACGACAAGCACATAACTAAAATCTCATTTTAGCAACTTTGACAACACTCAAAAATTAAACTTACTCTAAGCAAACCCAACTAACCTAACACCAACTTCAATCTCACCCAGTGCGACCCTAATCTTTTATCTTCATCTAGTGCGTTCTCAGTCTCTTAGTCTAGACCCCCTAGGCTAGTTAACATGTTTTGCCCTCCAGTCATTGGAGCATCCCGTTGTAATTACTACCTAGTAATGCAATATTGTGTTTATATGCACTTTTGGGTGTTCCTATCTCTAAATTAATTTTAACACTTTAAGAAAATTGTGGTAAAAAACCTTTGAGAACTTACAGTCATTTGATAAAATTACTTTTTTGAAGATCTGCCCCTGGCATGCTTGGCAATTCTAAAGGAGCAAAAAGCTTATTTGAAAAGGCTTCCTCTGTTTTCGGCTAGTGGAACGCGCAAATCATTAGGGCTTATTTGAAAATATTTTTATTTAATTATTTTGAGAACTGATATTTTATAAAATATACTTCAAAAATAAAAATAAAGTAATAAAAATGATTGTTTTTTTATTTTTTTTATTCTTTAAAACAATAATTTCAGAACACTTAAAAGATGTTTTAATTTTTTTATTCTTCTAAATAATATTTAATTTTTTTATTCTTCAAAACACTTCCTAAAAATATGTTACTAAATATATTTTTTTTGTTCTTTTATTTTGGAGAACAAAAAACTATTCTCAACATAGATTGCCAAACGAATTTTTAATCTTTACACTAGAGTTTCTCAAACTTAATTATTCACTTTTAGTTGTCGTATGATTATGTGCCAGTTTGGTTAAGAAAATAATCAATTTTAACTGAAAAAATTGATTAATAAAAAAGAAATACCCAAACATCATTTTTCTCAGTTAATCGATTGTTGGAGAAAAATTGATTTTTTTCAAGAGCTATATTTGTGAGCTTCTTTGAAAAAGATCAAAAGCATTGAAAAAAATTATAAAGAAAGACTCAAGAAAAAATTATAAAAAAAGCACAAAATTTAATAAAAATAAAATTAAACTCTTTTCTCTTTTTTTTTCTTAGTAAAATTTGAACTGTAGATCCTCCAAAAAATTACTAAAATAAGTTCCTGTCAACTATCACCCTCTACTAAGCACTTACTATATAACTAATTCAAATAAGATATTAATTGGTAGAGAAAATTTAATTTAATTTAATTTAAAATTTAAGATTATTACAAAGATTGTTGCAAAGGTCCACCGAGAGAGAGAGATAGAGATAGATTTTGCGTCATTTGTTACATTGTTATTTTTTTTTATTTTGCCAAAATTTCAAAACAATGCTTAATATAATCGTCAGATATAGCTCATATCGATGATGTCATTAGAGATCAATTTATATATTATCATTTTCATTAGTTATTGTAAAATTAATGTTTGATATTTAAGAATTAAATCTTTCTCTTATGTTAAATTTATTTGAACTAAGATATATTGAGTTATTTATTTAAATACATTAAATTGTTAATATTAATATAATTTAAATTTCTATAATTAATCAAATATGTAATTTAAATAATATATTTCACTTCTTAAATAAAATTTAACAAATTTAATAATATTAAATGCAAATTTATGAAGAATTTAATTTTAAAAAGTAATGTCCTTTATAGTAATTTATATAGTTAAAATTGATTCTAAATAAATTATTTAAACATCTTCAATTCTGTTAAAATTAATTTTTAAAAAATAATATCTAAACAAATTGTGTTATAACATAATCAGTTATGATTAAAATCAATCATTTAATTAATTATTTTTATAATTAATTATACCTAACTAAAATTTAAACGGACACTATATTATGGATTGCATGTTTATTCCCTTAAGTTTGCTTGAATTATGGATTTAATTGTTTGTCAATAAACTCCTATGCATGTATTTTCTAAGCTATGGATTGTTGGCACTTGAGAAGATTTTTAATTCAAAATGCAAATAAAAACATGGAAACTTTTTCTTATATACTCTTTTCATTAAAAAATGTAAAGAATTTTTAACTGAATCTCATCTCAATAAAATAATTACTTATTTTTAAATTAATCATCTCTCTTTATATTTACTCCTATTTAATAGAGTGTTTCATCCTAAAATAAATATAAATTAATTTATTCAATAGGGAAAATTTAAAAAAAAGATAATAATTATATCTTAAAAAATTAAAAATACCTTATATTTTTTAACATTTAATTTTTTAAAAAATACCTTACATATTTTTTTAAGAGAGGCAGAATATAATTTCAAGAAAGCTCTCTTGATCCCTCGTCCATCAAATTGAAAACCATTATAAAATACTTTTCCCCCCTACAACATTTTTTTTTCAAAATACATTTTTTATTTACCGAAGCGCAAATTGACAGTGTTGTTGCCTTTTTAA